GCTTGGCAGTTAGTGTATTACGATGGCCTTCAGGCCTATTGCACAATCTGCTGCTCAGGGAAGACTCTGCTAATGTGCGATGACCCAACTTGTAATAGGACGGTTACCCGTCGTAATACACCATCTACTGCCAAAAGGCAAGGGGCTGGTGCAATGCAGCCCCACGGCTGCCAGCACCCAGATCGCCGATGAAGGCTACCAGTCTACTGCACCATCTACCGCCAAAAGGCAGTTAGCAGCTGCTGCTGTGTAGCAATGCAGTCCCACGTCAGTAAGAATAAAAAAGAAACAAGAAGCAACAATGCTCACCTGATACAAATCAAAGTTATTTGCATGGTGGCCTTTGTAGAGAAACAAGTTGTCACAGATATGTGCAGTCATATTACACATATAGTATTTGAATAACAGTTGGACCATATTTGTGGCTGTTTTTCTGCTCGAATAGCTAATTAAGGACAGATGTTAGGACTTAGGAGCCTTTCTAGCTGCTGGCTCAAACAAAGGTGATGCAGTAATCTTTGTTTGTGGTGTTAGTCCATTGCTGAAGCAAAGATAGCATCTTTCAAACAAGGGATTAATATACTGTGCCAAAAAGAACAAGAGAGTGTTGTTATAGTTGGAGCAGTTAATGCAAATTTCATAATAAATCATCCTTTGTCTTTTAGCTCTTTGAGCTGAAATATTCCATACTTGGTCTTTTCCTAAAGACGGTTTGGTAGGAGACTCCAGTAGAAAATAACCCTGACAATAATAGTAACCTCTAACTTTATTTTTGAGAAAATGCATAAATTACCTGATCTACCCAATCTTTCTCAATAGTTTTATTCCTGTAGGAGCTCGTTGGTCTTTTGAAAGAAAGCAGCATCCCAGCTGACTTTGTTGTTAAAAAAATACAGGACTTTATTCCTCCCTGATAGCTGGCTGAGACCATTTATACTCTATGAACCTAGTTGTTCTTTCAGTTTTGCTAGTTTCATTCTGATGTACCTAAATGGGTATTTGACACTATAAAATCTTAGTGCAATAACTAGTGAGAAATAGCATGCATGTTTAAAGCGGTCAAGTCACCTTTATCATAAGTTTATTTTCTATCACTTCCTAATGCAGAGGCATAATAACACGCTGTATTGAAAAACAGGAGTACTTGTGGCACCTTAGAGACTAACAAATTTATTAGAGCATAAGCTTTCGTGGACTACAGCCCACTTCTTCGGATGCATATAGAATGGAACATATATTGAGGATATATATATACACACATACAGAGAGCATAAACAGGTAGGGAGTTGTCTTACCAACTCTGAGAGGCCAATTAATTAAGAGAAAAAAACTTTTGAAGTGATAATCAAGCTAGCCCAGTACAGACAGTTTGATAAGAAGTGTGAGAATACTTACAAGGGGAGATAGATTCAATGTTTGTAATGGCTCAGCCATTCCCAGTCCTTATTCAAACCGGAGTAGACAATTCCCACCTGTTTATGCTCTCTGTATGTGTGTATATATATCTCCTCAATATATGTTCCATTCTATATGCATCCGAAGAAGTGGGCTGTAGTCCACAAAAGCTTATGCTCTAATAAATTTGTTAGTCTCTAAGGTGCCACAAGTACTCCTGTTCTTCTTTTTGCGGATACAGACTAACACGGCTGCTACTCTGAAATGCTGTACTGAGGAATTTCTCACTCCGTTCCCCGTCCCCACATACTCTGTGATGTTTCACTCTGCTGGAACACATTACCAGGCTTTGTGAGTAAGCAGGAGTATGGCCAATGGGTCCACAAAGGGTTAAGATCCCACCAGCTAAAATCCCAGTGCAGTTGGGGAACAGTAGTCTGTGGACACTACTGCAACCAATAGATTGCAGTAGTTGCTGCAGGCTGACTGCACAGATAGCCTGCACTTTCCTCTCATTTGGGGGTCAGGAAAGGCCTTTCCATGTAAAGACTGTATACTTAAAGTTTTAGACAAGGAACTGGGATCACCCGTACTTTGGGGGTGCTAACACTATTTTCCACGCCTTTTCTGTGACAAATGGAATGTCATGATAAATCTCAAGCAGCTTGGTTCTGCTAAAGAAGACCAGTAATAGACATTCTTTTATTAATGGTTGATAAGAAGCTGTACTTGCATCCTTCTCTTCTCTCTTTGTGTCCACATTGGCCAGAGGATTTTAAAAAGTGCAGTGAAATTTTGAAAATGTGGACAGACAGGCAATGCATTGCCCAAGGAACCATCCCCACCACATATGTAGCTGCTATTGCCTATGAGTAACCCTACCTTATTTCTGTATTAGGTGTATTGACTTAAAAATGCAAAGAGAGATTGGATCCTTTGGATCCTTGCCTTCCCCTCAACATTTATCTCATACAGTAAAGTCTGGATGATCCCTGTAGTCTTTCTTGCATTCAGTACTGCTTGTCTTCATATTGAGTCTATATGCCTATTGTCTCAACAAAACAGCCTCCTCCTTTTATCCCCCCTCTATCAAGATGAGTGGAAACTATGCTTCGTGGGCCTGATCCCATGAGCTGCAGTGGGCCCTCAAGTTCCACTGAAAGTTGAGCTACTTCAACACCACACACAAAGTGTCCTCTCAGAATCAGGCTGCATTTATGTTGTTTCATAGGAGCACAACAAGCTGAGAAACAAATTCAGGGCAGAGGGGTAGGAATGAGTGTATTCTGATAAAGGATAATTCTTATAATATTTTAGTGCACAAATCCAACTCCTGTACATAAAAACACAAAGACCCTCACCGAGATGACTAGCTGGTAAATGAATAAATCAGATAAAGTATGTGATGACAAAGATTATGTGGTAAACATATGAGAAAATTAACGTGAATCTAACTGAATAGAGTGGAGCTGTTAAATGAATATATTCTGTGAGTACCAAAGCAGAACAGTTTTATCAAACATTAGCGCCCTCTAAAATCCTGTCACATACCTAGACTTAATTTGTAGTTGTGTGATTAAAGAGCTGGATCATTCTGTTTCCAGCACTGTAACTCCAATAAATGGCAAGGGGAGATAAGGCAAAGATTCAGATCCCTCCCACTAACCAGATAAACTTTGGTCTTAATTTCTAGAAGACTCTGAATTATGAAACATGTTTTTTGTGTACAAATCAGGTTATGCATTTGTAGCTCTGTCACAGTGGAAAGCTATTGATCATTTTGATGCAGCTCTTTATTATGCCACTTGAACCCTCAGTTTCCCAAATACAGCAGGAAAAGCACTGTAGCTGTATCCCTGTACCACAGCACTGAACTGCACAAACCCAAGTTGGAACAAACAGCACAGTTTCATCAGTAGTCCATTGTCATTATGCAGAAAAAAATCACCCCAATTAACTGCCTCTCACCTGTTTCAATGTGCTGTAGAAACTCTCGCGCCATCTCCTTTTCGTGTGGCAGAAGGACAGGTTTGTATAGCTGTCTGGCTTCAGAGGTCTTTCGTTTTAGGCAAGAGCATTCACTTATCAGAATCAAATACTCCTTAATGTTCTGTATCAGACTTGAGGACATCCTCTTCACAAGGGACACAAAGTCCTGAAGCAACTTCACACACTTTTCACACAGCTGAGCCATTTTTACTTTACTTGTTCTGATACCAATGCAAAACAAGAGAGAAAAAGGAAGAGATATGGAAATAGTAGCTTCTTCACACCTTCACTAGTTTTGCATTAAATTGTTGCTCCTGAGTTGGTGTGTGTTACAGATCTTGATTTACCCAACACTGTCATAACACTCTAGAATCACTGCAAAACTTCTAAGTTATTTCCTATGTGCAAACAAACTGCATGGCACAACAAAACTTAACTGTCAACAGTACGCTCCTTGTGAGATCTATAAGATGTTAGTTTAAAGGCTGGAACAGAGCCACGTACAAATCACTGTTTCTCTGGATTGGTTGAAGAAAAATAAAGCGATCACACAAAACTGTTCCATAAATAACAAATGAAATTTATTGAAACAACTATCAAAGCCTTCACAACTCAGAGGCCAGTGAAAGCCTCTGGAATAATGGACAAAGAAGGCTGTGGTTATGTAAAGTGACATCACAGCTGAAGGCAAGGCACCACCTTCTCTACATCTCTTTTGCCAATAGGAAAGGTATAAAAAAAAAATCAACAGGTTTTTCCAGTTTCTACTGAAGTTTAGACAGGAACAAAGGCACCATCTGGCTAGACAGAGAGTTCATAACTGCTTCAGATAAAATGTCCTAGTCATGAAGAATGAAAAAACTGAGAAAATGTGTAAATACAAATATCAGAAGTGTACTTAGAATTATATTTTATATCCTGATAAACAAAATCTGGGCAAAGATATGTGGAAAAAATAGACTGTATGTAAATCAAAAGTGATCAAGGCTCATCCTGAGGGGAGGCAAGGGAAGTTCAATTTCCCTTGTTAAAATTAAGTACTTTATTAATTTCTCTGTGCAGAAAGAGAGAACAGATAGGCAGGAGAGTGCTCCCCCCCCCATTCCTTTATGCCGTTTCATTGCTGTAGGTGCAAGTGCCTTCTCCTCTACAGATACATTTTTATTAAAGACACCATTGAAAATAAGATATGATATTTTAAATATTCCAGAGGCTTCCTGTAAAATCTGAGTTGATTCTAGACCTCTTTGTTAGGCAATGAATTTGTGCTGGTGTGCTGAGTGGTCACTTAAGTCAGGCTTCCTATATTAATGTATTTGATACATCTGTCATGGATACATATCCCACTGCATTTGAAGCATTTTATTGTAAGCTTTAAAGACTCATTTTTATACTTAGGGTAGGAGTTTCAAAAATTCCTAAGTCACTTAGGAGCACAAATCCCACTGACTTTCAATAGAACTTGTGCTCCTAAATCTCTTGCTTTTGGAAATCCCTCCCTTTGTCTATTATGCTTAAATCTATCAACAGTATTGCAGTTTTTATTTGGATATTTAGGGATGTAGCTCTTTGGGTGATGTTTAGATCCCCTAAAAATGTATACCATTCAGTCCAAATCAAGAGCTACCCATGGCTCCCTATATCCCCAATAGATGTGGGCCTCCCTGTATCTTTTAGTTAGCCTTTATGAGGAAGACTTTTAAAGGCAGTGTATCTCCTTGCTATTCAATCCAGTGATGTCTTCTGGCTACTTCCCTGCAAGATGTTCAAGGAGTGTCCAGCTGGCCCATTCCCTTCATTACTGTTTCTTAGGGGATGGGGGAAGCAGGGTTAGGAATGTCTGTCTGCTCCCTCCTCACTTCTGCCAAATCCACCTTGTAAGGATCTTCAAGGAGATGGGCCAGCTGCCCAGTCACATATCCTGCAGCAACAGAACCCAGAGACTCACTGCTATGTTCTGCTGCTACCACCACTGGCCTTTCAAACTTTGCTCTCCAAGAGAGCAATGTGAGGTATAATAAAAAAAAAACCCTCAGAATCCATCAAGTTCCGCTTTTGTATCTAATTCAACCCCGATGAGCAGATGTGCCAAGTTTCACTCGTTTAGGATTAGTTTTAAGATCATTTTTAAACTGTCTACGTGAGAAAAGAAGCAGGATTTTAAAGCAATACAATAATGTATTAATTAATAATATTTGCTCTTCTATAACACCTTCCATCTGAAGATTTCAAAGTGGTTTACAGAGAGACAAGGTAGGTGAGGTAATATCTTTTATTGGACCAACTTCTGCTGATGGAAGGTATAAGCTTTTGAGCTACACCGAGTTCTTCTTCAGATCTGGGGAAGGAAATCAGGGTGTTTGACCTAAATACAAGGTGGGACACAGACTGTTAAGCATAAGGGATAACACATGTTGGAGGCCAGTTGAAAAGAAGTGGACAATTACAGATTAGATTGTTATGCATAAGGGGTTTGAAGTGGGCAATTAAGGGTAGCAGGCAGTCTGATACATTACAAATTGTTGTAATGAACCATAAAACAAGAGTCCCTGTTGAGTCAATGGTGATTGGTGTGTAGCAAAGTTATGAATTTAAGTTCCCAGCCTCACCTTTTGAAGGTGTTGTGTGGATTTCTTTGAAGATGACTATTGAAAGAGCAAATATGGAGTGATCACTTTGTGAGAAATGTTCACCCTGGGTGATATGTTTTTTTTTTTTGACTTTTATCATTTTCTGTGAGAGTTCATTCGAAAGCATAGTGATTGACTGATTTCACCCACATAGTTGTTATTGGGGCATTTGATGCACTGGATGAGGTACATGACATTGTGACAGGCATATATAGGGCCCATGAATCTTAAAAGGTACGTTGTGGCTGATGCTGATCATCACAGCAGCGGAGATATGTCTGCAGGTTTTGCATTCATTGTTCTGTGAGGGTCTGATGCTGCTTTGAGTTGGTTGGTTCTGGTCTGTGGTGAGCTTGCTTCTGACAATGAGCTTGGCAAGCTTGCCGCTGTTTAGGCCAGAAGAGAGTGTTCAGGAAAGATTTCTTTCAGGGTGGGGTCCCCATCAAATATGGGCTGTAGTTGTTTCGAGATGCCTTGTATGGATTCCAGTGTGGGCTCAGAGGTTTTTTGTTTTGGTTCTTTCCCTATATGGAAGTAGGTTCTCCAAGGTATTTGGGTGGCCCATTCCATAGTGAAATCTACTTCTTTGATGAAGTGTCCTTGTTTAGTGAAGGCAGTTTTAAATGTGTTTAGGTGTGTATCCTGGACTTTCTCTTTGGAGGAAATTCTGTGGTTTCTGAAGACCTGGCTGCAGATAACAGATTTTTTGGTGCGTCTGGGAGGGATCTGTGGAGGTAAGGGTGAGCTATGGGTTTCTTGTATATACAGCAGCTCCTCACTTAATGTTGTCCTGGTTAACGTTGTTTCATTGTTACGTTGCTGATCGATTAGAGAACATACTCATTTAAAGTTGCACAATGTTTGCTTATAATGCTGTTTAGCCATGGGGGCTTGGAACCAGGGTGGGCCGGCACCCCTATCAACTCCCCTCCAGCCCCCCCCCCCCAGTCGCCTCCCACCCACTGGCAGCCCCGCAGATCCGCAACTCCCCCTTCCCTCTCCGTGCCTCCCGCCCGTAGCAGTCAGCTTTTTCGTGGCGTTCAGGAGGCTCCTGGGGAGGGGAGACTCTGGAGGGGGGGAGGAGCGAGGATGTGGCGTACAGCCTGTCCCCTCTCTTCCCGCGCCTCCTGCCTGCAGCAATTATGAAAACATAATTGATCAGCTGTTTTGCAGTGTTCAGGAGGCTGGGGGGCAAGGGGAGGAGGACTCGGCGCGCTTGGGGGGAGGGGTGGAGCAGTGGCAGGAAGAGGCGGGGCGGGGTGGGGCCTTGGGGGAAGGGTGGAGTGGGGGCAGGCCTGTGGCAGAGCTGGGAGTTGAGCACCTCTGGCACTTTGGAAAGAACAGCAAGAGGAGCAGCCGGACGATCCACCCTCTTTCACCTTCTGACTCCACCACCTCAACCAAGCTTCACAATCATCATTGCTGAGTACAGTATTAAATCAGTTGTTTAAAATAGTTTAAAACTTATACTGTATATGTATATAATGTCTTTTGTCTGGCGAAAAAAATTTCCCTGGAACCTAACCGCCCCATTTACATTAATTCTTATGGGGAACTGGATTCATTCCACTTAAAGTTGCATTTTTCAAGAACATAACTACAACGTTAAGCAAGGAGTTATTGTTGTCTTTTGTAGGATTCCATTGTTGAAGATAATCATGGTGTCCACGAAGTTGATGCGGTGAGGGAGTGTTTTAGAGAGAGTTTGATGGATGCATGTGGTGGTTCAAGTTGTGGTGGAAATCTATGAGGGAGTTTAGGTTGTCTGACCTAGGAATGAAAACATAATTGATATATCTCAGATATATCACTGGTTTCGTGATGCATTTTTTCAGAAATTCTTCCCTGAGGTGGCCCATGAAGAGGCTGGCATATTGGGGAGCCATCCTAGTACCCATGGCTGTTTCCATGATTTGGACAAAATGTTTGTTGTTAAATGTGAAGTTGTGGGTGAGGATGAAATGGATGAGTTTGGCAATGATTTTGGGTGAATTTCTGAACGCTGTACATCTTATAGGTATTTGAGGCAGGCAGCAATGCCATCATGGTGAGTGACATGGGTGTATAGGGAGGTGACATCCCTGGTGGCAAAGATGATTTTCTGGGGTGGGGGAAGAAGCTGTTAATGTTGCGGAGTTTCTGGACAAAGTCAGTAGTGCTTTGGAGAAAGCTAGTCCTTTGTGTGGTGAGTGGATTGAGGATGGTTTCCTGACATTCCTTCAGACATGATGGGTCTGCCTGGGTTCCCTGGTTTGTGTATCTTGGGAAGCATGTAGAAGGTCCCTGGGGTGGGTATGTGGGGGATGAGGTCGTAGAGTTTTTCTTGGAGCTGTTTGGGAAGGTATTTGATGGTATCTTTAAATTCCTGTGTAAACTGTGGTGTGGGGTCTTCTTTTTAGTAGGTGGTGTCAGAGAGCTGTCTGTTGGCCTTGTTGACATAGTCATCAGGATTAAAGACTACAATCTTAAACTGCATAAACTATGCTGTTACTGTGGTAAATACTGAGGAAAGACAAGAAACAGGCAGTTATAAAGTTCTAAAAAAATGACTACAGGACTCAAGGTACCAACATTTAAACAACCAATTTCTTTGTTTTACAATCTTTATAAAATAAAATGTTTATTGGCCCTACTTTCCCAAGCCACTTTTCCTTTGGGGCTCTTAAAATGAGTATATATCTCTAAAGCAAAATGGCTGAGAAAACAAAACAGTTCTATAGCCCAAATTCTAACTTGGGTTCATGTACATAGCTCTTATTAATATACTGCGGATTTTTAAAAAAAAGAATATATCCAATTGAGACAGCAGGGGGGATTTAGGGAAGTAGAATGTAATTACCCAAACCCAACCAGAATAACAGGGCTAATATATCTATTCTATGAAAGTGCCATCGGCTCTTAAATTACCATTGTTGGGAAGGGCTTTATTTGTATTTATTTCAATTTATATATACATTAAAGAGACAAGCTCCTCTACCTGCATAGTCTCCACTAGAAGCAGTACGAGGTATTCATTGAGAGCTGACTTAGATGAAAGAGTGCCATCTACTGAATCATCTTTACTTCTTTCCCTGTAATTTGTCCAATACATAGATTGACACAGCCTAATACTACTTGGTTTGTGAGACTAAACACAATCATAACGTGAAATGACATAGCTGGAAGGGTTAGTCTCAGGCTTTTGTACAGGAAGAGCTAAACCTTACACAGCTCAGATTCAAATTTTGCTATCCGTTACGATGGAGTAAACTTGGAGTAACTCTACTGATTTCAATGGAGTTGCTCCAGCTTTACACTGGTATCAATGAGAAAAACTCAATCTCTGCGCCCTGTAATATCTTTGGGAGTGGGGCTACATCACTACATTGTAATGTTACAATCAATGCAGCATGCCATGCCATGCCAGGACAACACTGCTCTTAGACCTCAGAAGGGTCTTGACCATAGACTCTCAGAAACACCCATTTCCGCTTTAGAAATGTGAATATGTAAAGGAGCTTAGCTAACACATAGAACATTGGTTCTCAAACTTTTGTATGGTGACCCCTTTCACACAGCAAGTCTCTGAGTGCAACCCCTTTATAAATTAAAAACACTTTTAAATATGTTTAACACCATTATAAATGCTAGAGGCAAAGCAGGGTTTGGGGTGGAGGCTGACAGCTCGCAACCCCCCATGTAATAACCTCACGACCCCCTGAGGGGTCCCAACCCCCAGTTTGAGAACCCCTGATATAAAATATTCCTTCAATCTGAACAACTGTTCTTCTGTGCACCAAGAACTTGTATGAGACCATGATCATGGAATCTATATAAAACAGAACCTGTAAGAAGGCCATAGAGAGAAGACTGAAGATTCTTTTTAATGTCCTTAGTGCAGAAAAAAGGCCGGGTGAGGGAACTTTTTCCTGTAGAGAGGAATCAAAGGTCAGAAGTAACGGGGGAAAAGTAAAAACCCACCAAATCAGTGTTATTTTATTATGTACTCAACTTTGTGGCATGTGAATGCACTACCGATATTCAAGTATCACAATGAGCAGTCACAGTACATTTTTGTTGTACAGGCAGTGCTGGAAGCATTAAGGTAAATTCCCTCCTGCTCCCTCTCCTCATATATTATATTGGTGTATTGCAACAAAGCAATATGCAAATATCTGCTGCAAAAGCTCCTGCAGTAAAGCGCTGCTGTTAAGAGATCTCATTCCTTCCTGTAAAACTGATAGGATCGGCTGTGCTCAGCTTTACACACAGAGAGAGAGAGAAAAAACACCTTTGCACAGCTTCCTGTGGATGGACGCGCCCTTCCCCCTACAGGTAAGTAACTCTCCCAGGAGTGGGGGACCCTTCTCCCTGCAGGCCACTCTACAGGGGACGGGACCAGATGCTGCAGCAGGAGTCCTTCCCCGCGGTTACACTCAGCTAGGATCTGCCAAGGGCACGAGCTGGTGCTATAGGGGGAGCTCGGCCTGTTCCCTGAGTCGGGGCAGGTCGCTACACTGGGGGTGGGACTCAGGCCCATCCCTTTCTGGTCGCTCGCTTTCTCGGGATACGAACACAGGCTCCCGGGTGTCATGTGACTGACTTTACCGTCACCTGATTAACCCGGAAGCAGTGGCCACCATCTTTACTGTGGGCAGAGACCCGACACTCCCCCGGAAGCCCGCGACCAACATGATGGTGGCTAATGAGTGCGCGACTTTACCTAGCTTAGAGCGGAAGTGACGTGGCCTAGTCTCGCGCTGCCGTAGTCCTCCTCTCTCTTTTCTCTATGGTTTCCCCTCCCCGTCTCTTCCTCACGGCGACGGGAAATGGCGGCCGAGCTGCGATAAGGGAGCGGGGCAGCTGGGAGCGCCGCCCGCCAGGTGAGGGCAGAGGGCGGGCTCGGCTACGCGGGCCGCAGGGAGGGAACGGAGGGAACTGGGAGCCGCGCGGTCCCGCCAACGCGCTGGCGGCCTCGCGCAGTTCCTGGCGGGTTTGTGTTTCTGCTTCGCGCGGCCAGGCCGCTGCTGAGGGCAAAAAGAAACTACGGGGGCGCCAGAGCCCCCCTTCCCTCCTTCCGCGGGAGCGCGCGCGTTAGGCCCGGGACTGCCGCGGGCTCCTAGAGCTGCGGTGCCTTTGGCGAGCGGCCGCCCCATCCCCAGCAGTGGGCCGGTGGCATGCGCCAGGCCCGGCGGGAAGCGCAGGGGACGGGACCCGGGGGGGCGTGATCGTCTGGCAGGCCCCGTGCTCTCAGCCAGCGCCTGCCGGGAGCGGCCCAGGGAGCCGTGCCCAGTTCAACGGGAACAGCGCTGTGAGCGGGCGGGGGAGCCGTTCAGCCCTGCCGGGGGCGGACGCTGCTTCGGGTCCTGCGCTGGTCCACGCTCCGCCAGTGCGGCTCGGCGGCTTTATAGTTCTTTCCCCCCTATTTAAAACCTGCATTTTTCTGTTTCCTCCGCTTTGTGAAAGAGCGACCCGAGCGGGGGAACCTGATCCCGTAGATTCGGGTGCCACCAAATGCAGGGAGCGCCCAAGCTGAAAAGGGAGATTTCAGTCTTGTCCGTAGTCTTTGTTCACTCGGTAAACACTCACCTTCCTTCCATCCTGTCTTCTAATGGAGCAGGAATTAGGTTCTTGTTTACTTAATACACCCGCAGCATTTGCCAAGTCAGTACAACTCTGATAGCCGATTGGAGATTTAGAAGCAAAACTTTTAGCCCAACTCTTCCTTCTTTAAAGGAGCAGTTTTCTTCCACTATAGAAAGAGCAGAGGGAGCATGAAACAGAGACTTTCTTGGCACTGCATAAAGTGGCTGTTTTTATGTTCTAAGGCAGTGGTTTTCAACTTGGGGTCTGCAGATAGTCTAAGATTTCCAAAGGGGTCTGCAGCTGCATTTTAAATTTTTTAGGGGTCTGCGCATGAAGAAAGGTTGAAAACCACTGTTCTAAGAGGATAATAGTGATTGCTCTGAAAAATAAACACGTAATCCAGACTGGCACCAGCTCGAAATTATTGAGATTTGCTGTTTAAAATACCTACATTACTGTCAGATCTAAGTTATGTGCTGGCAGGATTCCTCAAAACTTAAGTGTTGACTCCTAATTGCACATTAAATAAACATAGGCTTCTCTTTATATTTCTACTTGTGGGTAATAATATCTATAGTGTATAGATTGCTAGCAGAACAAAGAAATGTTATTACCAACATGACATCTATTAACTTAAATGTACAAATATTTTTGTAATATCCTCTCATTTCTCTCTAGGGAAATAATGATTTGAATCAAATAGTTCAGGAGAAAATCAATGTTATTATTTCACTGTCTCACTTTAATTTCCGTATCACAGTATTTCTTAGATGGACATGTTTTGTCTGTATAGCATAGAGACAATCGTTTTCATTTTACTCCTGGGGGAATTCTGCACCAAAAAAATTGAAAATTCTGCATACAAATTTAAAAATTCTACATATTTTATTTGTCAAAATGACCCT